TAGTTGACATGGTAATAAAAAGACAGATGGAGCTTAATGTTGATAATGAGGTGATACATGTGGGGAAAGCAGTTCTAACTCAGATACTCAGTGGTGGGTTCTGAAGAAAATATTTTCTCTTAGGAAAGAGGTCTTGGACCTGTGGTATGTAATGTCCTGTAAACATCAGCTCACTGTCCAGACATGGTCAAGCAAGTAAAGGATAGGACAGTAAGGATTAGTAGAAAAGGAACATTTAAAAAAGTATAAAGAGTGTGGAAGAGAAAAGAATTATGCCACTTTTAATCCCTGGTAGATATGCCTTCAAAGCGCTGAAGCAAGGCTTGGTTTTCTAACCTGAAATAATAGGCAAAAAAAAATACAGAGGTGGACAATAAGAAGGATTAAGTACAGTTTCTGTATAAAGAACAGCAGGATAGATTAGAAATCTTAAAGCCAGAGGTTTGTAAAAGCAGAGTAAAAGAGGACTGTGGTTGTTCACTTTCTCTGCCATTCAAATGTAGGTAAGCTGAATTCTACAGAGGTACTTTAGTTACAGATGTTCTGTCATTTTATGTGAAGCAGTCACGTTGCTTGTATACTCCTTGTAATGCAGAATAATAAACCTCTGAATATTGAGCAGATACCTTCATTGTTCTGTGAGTGATGACTAGGAATAGATCAACTTCTTTGTTTAGTTCTGAATCCAGGGGAGAAGGGAGAAATGCCACTGGAAGAATGTGGTATTCACTGCCAGCAGTGTGTGGAGGCGTGGTACATTATGGCTACTGGGAAGATGAATCTTGAAAATGTATGGATTTGCATCCCAGCAAAAACATTTCACATTAGTATGAAAAAGTAGTTGAAAAGGTAAAATCTGAAATGCTAGGAACCTTACCTTTTTGTTTTTAATTACCTGAGATCTTTATTTTGTAAGCAGAGGAAATAAAGTGCTGTCCTTTTTCTGGCTTTGCATAGCTCTTTGCCAAGAAGCCACTGAAAACCCAATGTTACTAAAATATTACTATTCATCAGAGGCAATAGTGTGAGGCATCATTATTGTTTAGTGTTTTATGGTCTCAGGATTTGCCCACAAAGGGATCTCACTTCTTTTTTGCTGAAAATCAAGTTTTAACCAAATAATCATCACAACTGTGATAATTTTCCAAGTGAGATAAAGTATACTGCCTACTGAGTCACTATGTAATGCTCAAGACAAAAAAAAATTATATAATCCACACAGAGCACAATTAGTTTGCTTCTAGTATTGCATGTACCTTGACTGATGCAAGATTCTGATACTCTGTGAAACAAGTCCTTCTGATTAATCTTTAAGCTGAATGAACATACTTCAGTATTATGCATTGATACAGTGCTACAAAAAAATCCACTATTGCATTCCCCTGTGCATTATCCTGCCAAACTAAGTTTAACTATTTCACATGAGCCGTTTGTCACTTGTAGATCAGCAAAAAGAGGTTTATTTATACTACCTTTCAAAAATCTTCCCCTTTCCTTACATTTCTTGAAGATTGAACAATGTTATGTTCAGTATAGTTCATGTTAACATATCTGTTCTAGTTTTAGGTGTCTTTCCTCCTCAGCTTCAGAGATTTTTTTTTTTAAATTCCTGAAATAGCCCTTAGTTTTTCCACAATAAGAGGTTTGCCTTTAGCTCCCTGTCAAAGTGATCAGGTTTGATTGTGGAGGGACATTATGTGGGACACCTCTGTAGCTGAGAAGCATCTCAGGCAGACTGAGCACATAGTTCATTTGCACCATTTCACCCAGGGACTGAGTGTGCTATCTGTGCAGGCATCTGAGTCCTACAGATATAATTGTGACAGTATCTTGCTGCCCTGGTCAATGGGCTCTCAAGATTCTTATTGTCAATGGAGCTGGTTTGTCACAGCAGGCAGCAGATGGCCAGGTGGAATGGGATGCTTTTTCCCCAGTTAGATACATACTGAGAACATGCTGGTGGTGCTCTCAACATATAAAGAATAAATAAAGGGTCTGCACTACTCTCAGACAAAGCAGGAGGAAAGCAGGAGACTGGGCCCCCTTTTTCCTCTTCGCTCTGTAAACTAGAAGACTCCTGACAGAAGAGTGCAAGAACAGTTTGCTTCTTTCTAGTCACACTTGGAGAACACAGTCCATATCTGTATGGATATAATTCAGAGACAATGAATGGAAGACACCTTTCTGGAAGGTGAGACAGATGCGTCTCCCTCACATACACAGAAGTTAGCTATAGCTTCTTCTGCAACAGCAGCAGCAGTTTCTCTGAGAATGAAGAGGAGTAGAAGGAGAAAACATAAAACGGAGAAAAAGCAGCAGTTCAGTAGGAAAAATGTTTTATTTCCTAGACGTCTACTAAAAAGACACCTGTGGTTCCTGTGGGAAAGCACTAACCAAGAGGGTGAGGTTTGGAGGTTCTGGAAAGCACCAAGAATGTCAGGAGGTCTCTTATATTTAGTAGATAAAAGTAAAATTTGCCAGTACTAATATTCCCAACTAAATCCAATATGTTTTCTGGTGGGTAGATTTTGTGACACTTGATCTGCAGCTAGATCACCTTTCAGAGCAGGATCTGTCTTTACTTCAATAGGATTTCCTTCAATTGGAGGCAATATAAAATATTATAAGGAAGTATAAAATTCTTCTCTGTATAGATATTACAATATACAGAATACCATTCTGTGAAGTTCCTTCTTGAAATAACAGGTGTCCATGGATATGTTCATATATGAATATTTGTGGGTGTGTATATATGTGCTTAAAATCAGCTACATAGGCAGCTCACAGTATCTTTTATTTTGCAGTTTAGCTTTTTCAGTAGCAGCTGAGATGTCATAAAAATTCTGTGCAAATGCAGTTTTATTTTTTTTTCACATACCAATGTTCCTGTTCTTTCACATAATGTAGAAACTCCATCCTAAATTTTGCCTTATTTTTCTCAATCATAGTTTGGTAGGATCTTTTTTATTCTGGAGAGACAAGTATTTAGAACTTGGTATGTTTCTGAAGGCGATGTATTTACTAGGAGGGTTTTATGGATAGTCCCTAAAACACTGGTGTGTGTCTAGTAAGGTATAAGGTATTTAGGGCAGTAGTGAATACAATTCAGTGCATCACTTCACAGCATTTCCTGACTGCCCTCACCTGTTGAACCCAGGAGTTACTGCTGCTGTAGCTAAAGCAGCAGGATGCAGTACACACTGTGTCTCATTATCCAGTTCATAGTCCAGAATACTAGTTAAGCCAAAAATGAAGGTAACATCCCCAGACTGGAACTGGAGAAACTAGTGCACCAATGGACATCCTTTTCTGCTGGCTGTTCTGTGGAGTGTGATAATATCCAGCACAAGAAGTGGGCAGACTGATAAAGCCAAGAAAATCTTCAAATGACACAGCTTAATTATCCAAAAAGTGTATGTCAGAGTATGTGCTTATGTGCAGCTTATCTTCAGTGCAGGAGTAGAGCTAATTATTTTCCTAGTGTGTCATGGTGCTAACATTCAGAGAACCTAAAATCACATGGAAACTTTTTTCTTCTTTCATATGGCAGTAAATGCCATGTTTTATTTCTAGTATCATCATAGCTCTTTCAGCTGTATGGTTGTCCAAGTATCTCCCTATCTTTGCTGAATCTCTGCTGTATGGACAAGTGTTTCCCTGCACACAATTCTGTTCTAAGCAGTGCATATTCCTGTGTGTCCTGGGGGCTCTTTGCAAATGGCTGGGGAGCTGTGAGCCAAGTGTGGTGGCAGGGCACCCTCCCCTCCCCCAGTCTCCAAGTCATGCCAGCAAGGCAACCCTTGGAAGCCAGCCCATGTTGACTGTGGCTGTGGAACTTTTGGGTGGTGTTTGTAGTTATGTGGAGCAAACTTCTGGGTAAGTGGAAAGGAACAAACCTAATTTTTTCTTCAGTACAGTGGTCTAGTTTTGCAATTCTGTGTACTAGCAGGAGAGAACTGGCCCACACTCATTTTTGCACCATTTTAATGCAATCAGTCTAAAATTGTGTTCTTGGTATCAAAGTGGTGCTACACAGTGATATCTGAGTTGGGGCCAGTCTCTTGCTTAACTGCACACGTATTACCATTGACCATCTACCAAGGGACCATTTGTAAGGCTCCTAAGGCAAAGGGACCACCTGTACCATTACTGAGTGCTTCCCCTTTACTGATTTACAAAATGACATGGCAGTCCTGTGAGGGAAATGTCTACTTTTTCACTGACTGGTGAAATGCTGCTTTTGAGAGTTAAGAAGTAGAGGTGATGATGAAGACATGAAGGAAATAATCCTTTCCATCTGTCCCTAAAAATATTCACTTTATATGGTCAATTTCTATTTACTGAGATAAAGATATTATTTATAACATTTACTTCAAGTGAGAAGCAATTCATAATACCGTATAGGGAAGATGGGGTCTGATTATACCAGTGTATGTCCAAACCCACATGTAGTGTGTTTTGTCCAATTTGCATATGCATAGATGGTTATAAATGGTGCCAAGAAGTGGAGATTTGTCCCATTAATTTTATTTTTTTAAACTAGCAGCAGTGAAAGCCCATTGTAGCTTTTTAAGAAGTTGCTAGAAGAGTATGGTATTTTTAAACTTTGAAGTCCCTATAAATCAAAGCATGTCTTATGTGGAGGTTTTTTCTAAATAAACGTAAAAAAGTGTTCTTCTTTTTATGAATAATCATTATTTCTTCTTTTGTAAAGCATTTTATTAAACTAGGAAAAGTTTTGTTAAAAAGTCCTCATATGATGATAGTGTGTGAAAAAATGGGAAATACAATTTAGGTTGGGGTTTTTTAAAATACATTAGTCTTCTTTGTTTTATTGCTAATGCGAATGCATTTTAAAATCAAAGTGACTTGTTAGAATCCACAGATCTTTACACTGCTACTGAGATTGTGTTTTGATTTCTTTGACATGATCCCTGATTGCTGTAAGAAGAATCAGTTCAGTATTTTTGTTCTTAGATTCCCCCTCCTTTGTCTTGCAGCTACTTGTGGCAGATTCCATTAACAATTGCAGTAGGAAATACGAGCCACATCTCATCAGAGGCAATTATATGGGTGTCTAACAAATCAGGTAAAAATAAACTTTCCTCCCAGTGGAATCTCATAAAGCATACTTGTGTTTTCCTCAAATGTGTCTTTGGAATTGATCCTAGATAATTGTTTAGTTGCTCTGCACCCAGTTTTAACTGCTTCCAATGAATTGCAAAAAAAGCAGAGCTGGGAAGGGAGGGAGGAGGAATGATAGATGAGCAACCATCTAGATTTATAATATTGCAGAATTTAGACAGTATAATGTAAAGCTTTTACAAACAAATGTAAAGCGCTAAGTATTTTATATTTGGCAAAACATCAAACCATTGATGAATGCAATTCACTTTATTGATGGGTGAAAGTTAAATGTAATATTGTATAATGAAGCAGATATGATGAGTATGATTTAGTACATTTAGAATTCTAGCATTTTCAACTCAATCCATAGTCTCAAGCAGGACTAAGAAATGGTTGCTGTCATTAAAAATGTCCTTATTGGTCTATAAAAAGTATTTGTTCTCTCTATTAGATAACCATGTGCTGGACCTCAAAAGTGCATTGTTCTGTTTACTACGTTTTTTCTTCCTCCTCAGTTCCTGCATGATCATAACAATATTAGTTACTGCCTGGAGGAGAGTGTGAGTGCTAGATGCCGGTGGTTTTTATCATCTATGAAAGGAAGCCCACCACAGAAATTTCATGAAATGTTTATCTGTTTCCTGAGCACTTCATGCTACATTGTCTGAGAGTTTTGGACTAGAATTAAAGAGAGTGAGGGAGGACATGTGGGGACTTGAATGGAATTATTATATAGAAGGGAGAAGAAGGATGCATGCATGCGCTTGACATATGGGCTGTAGAGGGAGAGCTGACCCTTTCTTGTATAATTAGAAAGGTATAGAAATTTCCATCTAATAGAAAATTAATGGGAAAGAGGAGAGTCAAACCTGTGTGAGATGTTTTTTCTCTTTTCTAAGTTACTAAAATATATTAGTCACATAGAGCTTAGCAGCCAGAAGGACTGGAAATCAGTGGTGTATGGTCAGTAGAAATCTGAGTACCCCAGCCTTCTAGTGGTACAAGGTATGTGTTTCTTTATCCAGATCGTTTGCAGCCTATGAGAAAGTAACATGTTTATGCTGCTCCCATGATAGAATGATCTAGAAGTGTGCATGCAGCCAGAGCAGTTTTCATACCTGGAAAACACTCTCATCAAAGCATATGGGTTCTGTCTTACTTTTCACAAACTTACTATTTTCGCCATACTTTTTAACATTAACACTTCCAGAATACTTCAAGACCTGTTTGCACTTTCAGAGTGTGCCTTAATGACCTGTTCTACTTTTGTCCTTTAGGACTTGATTGAACTCTCATTGAAGTTGTTAGAAAGGTTCCCACTAGCTTCAGAGCGAGCTGATCATCCCATCTCATTAGGTTGCACATGCATGCCTCCCTCCCTTCACTCCCTCCTTCAAAGTTCAGTGTATTACTATTATCTACATAGGTGCTTCCTCATTGCCTTTTACTTGCAGAGTGCTGTGGAGGAACAAGTCCGTAAAACGGCTACCCACTCTTTTAAGATCTACTGCTTCTGTTGGAATGCCTTCAAGAAATCAACAAATTAATGATGGCCAGTGTGAGCAATTATTTTGGGCTGGCTACTGTATAGAAATTAAAGAAGAACCATTCCGAATCATCAGTCTTCTGTGTAGCAAATCAGTGACACTGTGATCTGTTGTCATTATCCTTGTTCTTCCTCATTACTTTCACTCACTCATTCACTTGCTGTGCCTCATTGAAAATGAGACTGTAAAGTTATGACTACAGCAAAAATGTCCTCTTGCTTCTGCTTATTTTGGTCTAGGCTGCTATGTACTGAGGCTGGTATACATGATTCCTGGGAGTTTTTCTGCAGCGGGTATGTTTGTTTCATGAGGATGAGGGAGGAATTCTGAGACTCCAAAGGACAATTTCCAGGTTTGATTGGAAATTGAGTGGACTGGAAGAATCTTGAAGATTTTCTGTTGTACAGATGACAGTTTCAGCTGGAGGCGAAAGATTTGCAGATCCGCAAAGCAACTTTGGAGTAAATGCTGTTCGTGAGGATGGTTTCTGTGCCCTTTTTAGGAAAGAGTAGGCAATTCCTTCTGCTTGACTAAACTGTTGTGCTGAAGGATCTTCCAGTGTGACTGGGAGTGTGGATAGGAGCTAATGAACAGCTCTCTGTTGTTTGTTATTGTGGTATGTTGACCCTGGCTGAGCACCAGGCACCCACCAAACTCACTCTATCACTCTCCTCTGAAACTGGACAGGGGAGAGAGAATATAACAAAGTGTTCATGGATCTTGGGTAAGGTCTGAGTTAGAGATCCCTCACCAAGTACTCTCAGCAAAACAGACTTGAAATGGGAGCAGGATAAGGAGAAGTAAAAACAGACCGTAAAATGCCTTCCCCCTCTCCCCCCTGCCTCCCTGTTTCCCAGCTCTGCCTCCTCTCCCCCAGCAGTGAAGGGAGAAGGGAATGGGGATTATGACCAGTTCATCACATGTTGTTTCTCCCACTGCTCAGGGCGAGGAGTCTTTCCCCAGCTCTGACATGGGGTCCCTCCATCAAAGTCACAGCCTCCTCTCAGGCATCCATCTGCTCTGGTGTGGATCTCCACCACGGGCTGCAGGTGGATCTCTGCATCCCTGTGGATCTCCATGGGCTGCAGGGACACAGCTGCATCACCATGGGCTGCACCAGGGTCTGCAGAGGAATCTCATCTCTGGTGCCTGGAGCACCTCCTGCCCGCCCTTCTCCACTGACCGTGGTGTCTGCAGGGTTGTTCCTCTCACATGTTCTCACCCTGCTCTTCTCTGGCCAAAATCACATCTGAGCAATAACTTCTTTTTTCCTTCTTCTTCTTAAATATGTTGTCACAGAGGCATCACTACCAATTCCAGTTGGCCCAGCTTTGGCCAGCAGCATGTCTGTCTTGGACCCAGCTGGTATTGCCTCTGCTGGACACGGGAAAAGCTTCTGGCAGCTTCTTACAGAAGCCATTTCTCTAGCCTCCCCTCTGCTACCAAACCTGGCCATGCAAACCCAACATAGTCGTTATTACTGATCATACACCTAATTTCAGCTGCCAATAGGGAAAAGGGTTCAAGTTGATGACTACTACTGTGATATCTTGACATATCACTTAAATCTTACAATAAAATTAACCTTGTCTATGGGTTATCTGGTAGAAATGAAACCGCAGCAGTTTTGAAATAGCTACATATAGAAATACATCAAAACATGTTCCTCATTTTTTTGGGTGGTATTTTGAATAATGATATCCATCAGGAGTTTACTCCGTGCCTTGCCCTAGCTCACCAAGAATGGTTATTTGCTGATGTAAGAGGCTTTTCCTTCATGTACATCCAGAAAGATGAAAGAATTGTTGATTTTTGCATCCTTTCTGCCACTGTGTTTGTGACCTCATCAAGGTGTTGTAGGATACCAGTTGGTATTTTCATGAACAAGGGATATGAGGATGCTCTCCAGCTCTGTGAGAGTGACATGAATTTAGGATGACTGAGTTGCTGCTCTGTCCTCATCTTGTCTGTCTCTGGCTACATGCCAGGGGTAGTGAGCATGCAGATCACTGATTGTTCAATATGCTGAGCAGGATCAGTTCAGATAACTGCATCTCACCACAATTGCTGGCAACAGCACTAGATCTGTCCATTCTTCACATCACTGAAGTGAAGGAACGCACTGGAAATTACTGCTACACAGTGTCTTTTTGAGTTGCAGTTCATTGTCCTTTGCAGGAAGTCCTGTAGGGAGGACAGTGCCTGGTCTTGGCAACTTGTTTGACAAGGTGCATTGTCGCTGTTGAGTAAGAAACGACACAGACTTACCAGAAGGCTGGTTTGCACTGCATAGTTGTTTTACTTTGGATTCTCCTTTTTTATACATTGTTCTGATACAGATAGACTAGATTGGTCAATTAATTAATACCTTTCACTTGATTGATTAATTAACAAAACGCTTTTCTTATAAACAATCTTTGAGAAAAATAGGAAAACAGAGAGTAGGAAAACAATACCTGCAGGTTGTTTATAATAATTAGCTATCATTGTTTATCTTCAACTCCCTAAAGTCTCACAATCCGATTCTGGGAAAACATACTGTTTTCTTGCTCTCTGACCAGGCTGTCACATCCACAGTGCTTAATATCCAAGATGTTTCAAATCTAATATAGCTCTTCCCACCTGTTAGCAGAAGGAATGTAGGCATAGTTTTGAAAGCTTTTCATTTTGCAAGTGCTTCTGCCAGTCTCTCTTTTCCTTACCCAGTGAACCATAGCATTTATGTAACCGTATTTCTACTCATCAGTTCACATACCAGCCATCAGATGATGGTCCTTTTACTGGGTTCAATCTGTCTGGTGTGTGAAGTGGAGCTGTCTCATTTGCTCATAGAGTGCTGCACAAAGGTCACCAACACCTTTTCTCTGTTCACTCCCCATGGCCATAGATGAGGCTGTTCTACTTCAAGTGATTGTAAACCAGTCACAAAGGAAACATCTTGTGCTAGACCTTGCTATCCATGCTGAGGTCACAAACATCATGCCAAGATGGCTGCAGTGCTCTTTGTGCCTCAATCTTGCAGGTCTGCTGAATGGTAAATTTTGCTGGCACTGTGGAAATCATTGGTGTTACAATCTTCTGCTCTGTCATATTTCAGGGCTTGTTTCTGTTTCTCCTATATAAGTTGCCGCTTTTGTGATTGCTGTAATGATCTGTGAACATGTATCCATACTGTTTTGGGATCAGCCCAAAATCAGTAGTGGGTAGAAAGCCAGGAACCAGCTTTGGACCCATTCCATCCCTATGACTGCTAAGCAGGGCTTGTGGGAATGTGCTGGTGATTTCTGATGAAGTGTAATAGGTGTGGGAGCACAGGCTTAGCTGGGCATGTTTCTGCAAATCTAGAACTGACCTTAACCTGAAGTGAGGAGGTTTAGCTAGCATCCATTTCCAATAGGTGAGCAGGGAAAAAGGCGTACTTGCCTTCCAAATAACAACTGTGGATCTAAAGACTTGAAATGGTACTGGAACTGTGTTTAGTCCATACATTTGGCAGTACTGTCTTGCAGAAGGATGCCCTGGGAATCAGTTTTCTGGTGCTCAGCCTCCAAGTAGGAAACATCTATATGCAACTCAGCAAGTGCTGCTGAACTGGCTGACACAGCTTTAATCCTTGCCCTTTCCATCCCCACCTCTTGTTTATGAACTGATTTTTATGTTCCAAGGAAATACTCCTTAGACAGACCTCCCTACCTCAGTTAAAGTGACTGCTGTTCAGATTGCTCCTAATATCTCCTCTGGGTTGCCACGAGAAAGTTCAACAGGGCAAGTCCCTTCCAACAGCAAGTCCAAATTTACTTTGCCACCTCCTACTAGATAATCTCTACTTTAAGCCACCCAACAATCAGATTCTCCTCCAGGAAGCGTTTTGTAGAAGACAGATGCTTCTGAGCTGGGGTTTGCTGGCTGCCCACTGGGGAGCAGAGCATTAGTTGCAGCTTTAGAAAAATACTCTTTCTTTTCTTTTTGGAAACTCAGCTGCTGAACTTTACCTGTGTTGCTTCCAGGCTCCACTCTTTTATCTTTCAAAAGGAGGAAGAAGGGAAGCACTGTGAAAAAAAAAGAATATACAGGTCCTGCTTTCAGCCTCAGCCAGCTGTGGTGAGGACCAGGGATACAGGACTTGGAATCCCATGTAATTTTGACAGAATGAGTCAGAATCATTCCTCTTATTCTAACAGCTCAAGATCCTAGCAGAAGACTTCTGTTTACATTGTGTATCACCTTAGTTATTAGCAGTTCCATCATATAGGTATATTAATGGATGGAAAGGTAATTTGAAGAAAGAGTTTTGTAAGATGGAAGATGATAATATTTCCTGATGGGCTCCATTTATTGTGCCAATCTCTATACCAAAGTGTTTTCTTTCAGCATGGAGCTATGTCAACATGGCAAATGAGATTGATAGAATTTTTTTTTCTGGTTTGCCTTCTCCCTATGTGAAAAAGTTCTTGCAAGAAGTTTTGCAGAATTTAGTAAAGCCAGTATAAATTATTGTGAAATACCTCATGGAACACTTTTTTGTCAGAAACATTTCTCTTGCTGTTGTTGTCAAGAAATTGTGCTACACTTGTGCAGTTGTTTTTGTAGCAAAATGGAGTCAGTTCCCCCTGTAGGGATTCTGCTACCTTAAACCAATTTTTTAGTATGTTAGGGGTTGTATAAAGTAGAGAGTTAAAATAACAACTGTGGGTCTGAAGACTTGAAATGGTACTGAAACTGTGTTTAGTCCATACTTGTGGCAGTACTGTCTTGCAGAAGTATGCCCTTCTCCCAGACCCATATCACATGCTGGTTTTGATGGAATTGAAGTGTTGGGAGAGCTCAAAACTTCCAGCCACATGCACCAGCTGGAGTAACTGTCTCACACTTTGAGAGCAGACAAACTGGGGAGAAAAATGAGACCCTAACTGTTTTTTTTACTTCAAAACAAATGTCAAAGTTTAAAAGTTTCCTCGTAAATATTTCCTATATGTATGTGGCAAAACTAGAAGTTTTAGAGCAGTGTTATTTTCTGAGGCATCCAGACAAATCATGACCATGGAAAAACACTTTCTGATGGAAGAAGATTAAAAAAATTCCCTTTAGTCTCACATACAACGGGATATATATTTTAGATTGACTTTTGTGAGGCAAGCTAAAACCTTCAAAGATGGATTTAATTTCAAATGAAATCTTTGTTGTTGTTTAGAAAGTCATGAATGCCTTAATGTAGGGCTTAACACTGAGTTAGTACCTTTTTGCTAGCTATAATACTTTTAACAGGAAACTAATAAATGTGTTTGTGGTAAGTGGAAACATTACCCACGTATAGAAATGTTTAGTGCCTATAATTACCAAAAGAAAGAATTTTTTTTAATAGGAAAGCATGAGAACTAACAGACACAAATACCAAATTCTACTAAATTATATAGAACTGCATGAAGCACATGTATCAGGCAGTCCTGTAAAATAGCCGCCTCTTTATGTAAGTTGGGAAGGTGTGAAAGATTTTTGTCCTTTATTTCAGGAGAAGGTCAGTACATGAGTGGTCTTATTGAAAAATAACAGTGGGAGGTTATGGTAGTATTTAAACTGACCAGAACAGCAATAATGTAGTTGTGATTTGGAAGGATACTCTCCTCCTTTATAGCGATACATATTGGGGGTGTTGTGCAGCTGTTAAATGTGAAATAGCTTATTCTGCACTTGTTATATTTGACTGGCAAGTATCATTCAATACTCTGTTGAGGCCTAAGTAATTTCCTCACTTGGGAGGTGAAAATGTAATACAAATGCCTGAAGAAGAAAACATGTATGTATTTTCTAATTACATATGATTTTGAAAATTTCTATTTAATGTATTCATATACCCAGATATTGTTTAATGTGTGCTGATAGCCTATTTGGTATACTTTTAGGTAGCATTGTAAAGGTGCAAAGATTAACCAGTTAGAAGTAGCTGTTTAAATGCCACCAGGACTGGTGGCATTTAAAGATTAGTTTGCAACCAAAGAGCATGGGCAGAAAGCTGTACTGTACCAAGGTCGTATAAGGCTACAAAGGAACAGGATTCAAGTCTTCACTAAATAGGATGGAGCAACAGGCTGGATCTGACTTGGACCCGATGAAAAAAGGATTTAAACAGAGGAGCAAGTCTAAGAGAGTTTGCTTAGGGCTGATCAGTACAACCCCCTGTGGAAGAAAGGACACACAAGTGTTACAGCCTTGTTCCAAATCAGATTGTGTGGCAAAAGCATCTTAGGTGCTTTTGAACACCTGGGAAGTCCACAGAGTTGTACGATTCAATTCAGATTTTCTCAGTTCTATTTTTGCAGGATATATTGGATCCTAAAGAACGTGTCTGCTTGGTGCTTTACCACAGATAAAAGAGCAACAACAATTGAATTGAACAGGCAACAACTGAATTATTCTAGGCTTAATATTTTTAATAAGTGTGTTTTTCAGAGATTTTAATGGTTTCAGAACTACCTACGTGAAAAGAGGACTATCTGTTAATCCTGCAGTTTTTTATCTGAATCCATGTGCATAATGCAGGTCCATTAATTTAAACATATAATTATGTGTTTTTTAGATTCAGGTCTTGCTGATCTTTGTACTTATGGCACCTCAAAGTAGTAGTTATTTTTGGGCTTGCTGTTAGTTAGGGGAGAAGCACAACTTTTATCTGTACCTCTAGTTAACTATTATTTCCTCAGAAATTACTTTTTTTATAAGAAGGACTAAACCAAATCAATTTCTTTGGTAAACCTATGTACTAGATAGTGTGAGTAAATTGTAAAGACCATACTGCTAACTGTTTTCCCATTTGTTACCTTCAGGGAGTTCAAGCACACCAAAAAATTCTCTAATGGAATTACATTTATAACAAATAACAAATTACATTTTTCTCTAATGGAATTACATTTATAACAAATTTTATGTATTTATTAAAAAAAAAAAAAGAATGACAAGATTACTCCTTCAACAGTGTACAGACTAATTTTATTGGTTGAAAAAAATGTTTCTGAATTTTTAGTGAGTTCTCGTTCATAGTTAGTTTTGTCAAAATAATTTACTAGATTGAAGACTTCTTCCAGGGGTGTTGAAGCCTGATACTTTTTGCTGTAATAAAAAAGAAGTGCATGTTGTAAGTTCAGGGCATTTTTGTTGTTGAGATTTTGAAATCCCTATTTCTACAAATAGTTGTGGAGTGCCTGACTGCACAAAAACGGTAATAAATTTAGACTTTCAGCCCTAAAGTGGTTACTTAAAACAAGGGGAAAGATGAAGAACAGGTTAGGTGATATAAGGTTAATTGGTCTACCTCTAAAGAGGAAACTCTCATTGCATTGTAGGTAGAAGCTGTTCAACTGGAAGTACTTTAATTTAAAATCTAGTGTAAAAACTTAATCAAATACATGTAGAAACACTTAAGAATCAATTTTTTTAATCACAGTTTACTCTTCTCTCTATAGCACATTCATTGAATTTTTTGAGTTACAATTGTAGAAAACTATTTAAGGATGGCCAGAATAAGGGTACCAGACTTAAAGTGGGTACCTCTCTTAAAAATAATACTTGCCAGGAAAGAAAAAGCACACTTGAAGTCCTGTGTGGGTAAAAGGTCCCCGTGGGAATGTCAGTTGGCATCTCTCTACATCAGAACGGATGTAGGAAATTATTAATCACACACATTATTTTTGTTAGTCCTTGAATTAATTATACTGCCTTCACATATATTTAAAGAAGGAGAAAATGTAACAGATGCACCTTTAGAATGTTTAAATTTGAAACCAAGACCCCTTCCCTTCTTCTTCTTTGTTTCCAGAACACCACAGAATTCCTGCTTTGGAAGAGGCAAGTTGGTTGCTGGGGAACGTCAACCAGACTGGCTACTTCAGAGTTAATTATGATATTAGAAATTGGAAGCTGCTAATTAATCAGCTAACAAGGAACCATGAGGTAAGATCCTCTTCTCATCCCTAAAATCTGCTTTCATAGATGAACCTTCACTGTTTCATCACCTGAAATGGTTCAATTTTTTTGCTTGCCCCTCACAGGTTATCTCTGTCAGTAATCGAGCAGGCTTGATTGATGATGCATTCAATCTAGCCAGGTATGTTTTCCTGAAGATCATCTATCCTCATACACATTGCTGCAATAACTCATGCAACCATTAACTCAGCAGTTCAGTGTGTTTCAAAGTTAAGTGTGTTTTAAACACACTTTAGTTTCCCTCCCCTGCTTTTTTTTTTTTTTTTTGTATAGCACATAAAAATGGTCTGTAGCACATTCACTACTCTTGATCAATAATTGCCGTAGGGTATTTCCGAGTCTGAAGAGATTTGATCAATTTTGCAGCAAGTTCAATTTAACACTTTGCAGATAAATAATCTCCTTCCTCTTTCTCTAATGATGGAGGGTTTTTTCTTCTGTTTCTCCCAGTTGTCCCACCTTTCCTTTCTTTTACCACTGATCCTTGTGCTGTATTTAATTTGAGATGGAAGGCACCTTCAAGCTTCAGTAATTTTTTTGCCCTAACTTGTACTGTTATATAATTTTTCCAGTATCTTTCTTTTCTTATAATCTGCTAGAACAGACTCTTTTTTTCCTCTGTGGTGCTTTTCAAACATAATGGAATATAATAATATTGCTTCCATTGAGCATTTCTGGAATTTATGCAACATTTTATGCTTTATAATGATGAGAGTTAATAATTAACACATGCAGTGCTGGTTAGGTAGTGCCTTCTTTACAAATGAAGGCAATGGATTGGTCCCCATTTTGAAATCCATTATGTTGATAGTGAAAGTGTAAAATGAGAGGAAAATAGTGGAACATTTGTAGCTTTTTGAGAGAGAAACATAGCATCAGTATAGGGTTTTGATTGCATAATTACAGATTTAATTGCAAAATTGCAGATAATGTGATTTTACTTGCACTGTCATGGCAAAGGGAGCATGAAAAGAATTCCTGATAGTAGTGTCTTTACATTTAACTACAAACGGTCACTGGAGGTGTTTGGGCTTCAGCTCAGTGATGTTCTAGCATCACTGCAGTAAAACACAGTTTTGCGCTCTACCACTCGGATCCTGCTGCTGACATTAAGTAGTGATTAGCCCTTACTTAACAGTCCTGAGATGTAGTGGGGAAGGAGGTATCATGGGAAGAGGTGTACCCATTTGCTTTTGGCACAGCCCTTCATTCTTGTTTTGTGACATCTTCCCATTGGTAGCAGTAAAAACTAGAAATAGGTCATTATTTGACCTATTCAGTAGGTCATGATTTGTCTTCTCTCTGAGTAGAAGAATATTGCAGATTATTCTGAAATATCTAGACTATCAGAACTGCCAGATGTTGAGTAAAGTTGTAATCTGTTCCAATTTTATCTGATTTTAACGCCTCAGAGAAGTAGTGTGCAGTTACACAGAGCCAGTATGTCACCTTCTTTTTCCATGCACTGAATACAGTCAGACGTGTCTAGACTTCCCTGAAAGTCTAGATCCTGAAAAAAAGCTGTTTCTTAAGCCAGTTTTTGTAGGTGAGTGTTTTTCTTCTGAGTCAGTATTGAGCCAGTGCTCTAGGATGTCTTGTTCATAGAGTATTAAGGTGAGGTCTTGATTAAAGACCCAACCTGAACTGTCTGGCCAAGTTTCGTCTACCTAAAAACCACTCAAAAGATTAGATGAGTAATGCATTCCTCACTAATTTTGTGAAGTACTTTTATGGGGATACTTGGAAATACTAGAGCCGGCATCTTTTTCAGAGGTAACTACAGTAGAGCCTTTTGAAGTCTTTCACAAGATTTCACATTAAAAAAACCCTTGACTTTGTTTTGTTAATGATGGTCTGCAGCAGACTGCTGATGCATTTGGTCTTCATACACTGTGGAAAAAAGTAGTGGAGATATAAATGTATGTCTAGATACATGCGCATACATGGATATCACTTACAAGAAAATAGTCTTCCAATATTTGGAAGACTAGGGATATCAAGCTAGACTTCTGTTTCTAGAGTCCTGTCAATAGTGCTTCCTTGAGTGTGTGCCTTACAAGCCAGTTTGGAGGAACGATCTGTTTGCAAACAGTAGATTTATGGTCTGTAGTTCCAGAGTAGCAATAAGATATGTGGACCTGGCTAAACTTGCCATGTAGGATATACTTGCTGATCTTTATTACATTATTAATCTGTGTCTTGGTTTGAAAAGACAGGTGTTTGCTAAGGAAGGCAGGAACCTCTCTTGAAATGGAAAATGTAAACCCCCCTCCATCTGAATTGTTATAATTTTGGTATTAGGAGGCTCTCAGGCAATGATATGGGAATAGGAATAACAGTTCTTTACTAGGAAAACTAAAAAAAAAAATTAATATTTAGAGCTAGAGAAAAATGAAAGAAAATGCTCATATAAATTGTTTTGGAATGGCACATTTTATTTTTTTAAAGGTGTGTTTGATTTCATTCCTCTGTAATGTTTATTATCCTTCTACTGACCAGCATAGTGATTTCTTGAAAATTGACAACATAAATGAATTGATGCTGCCAAGGAATATTTTAAGCTCTATAGCTTTTAATTGCATTTTTTGATGTCCATTTTATATTGAAATGCATTCCTTTATCTTCCTTCTTGCTGTATTTTGGTTTATATAACATTCATAAAGGAGAGTTGAGTGGAATAATAACAACAAAGGAAAGTTACAACTTGTTTGATTTTTAAGCGTAATTCTTGGCTGTAGTGCATGCACATACCCTTAAGATATAAAAAGCCTTGGCAGAACATAGCTTATGGCAATTCATATCCCATGTTCTTCAGCAAGAATAGCACCTTGACCCTCCCTTTTCCCTTCTTCTTGAAGATTCTTTACTTTTTGTTTGTAGAAGGTTTCAGTAGAATTTAAAAATATGTTGATTCTAGCAAATGATACTAGTAAACATTGACTGAGAAAGCCCAGAAGCCGTGAGAAGACAAACAGAACTGTGGTTCTCATCTAAGCTTAAACAGAGTGGAGGGCAGATCAGGCAGCTCCAATAAGCAGCGTCACAGTAATTAACAAAGGTCGCACTGCTTCATAAGAGTGTGAGTAACGTTGTCAGCTTCTCACATCTTTCTCTTTCCTTAGGATAAGAGGTCAGTTAGTGAGTACCTGAGGTGGGATGCCTCCCAATTTACTTTAGGCATCCCAAAGGTAGACCTGTAAATCTGACATTCTCACGTCGTAGTGCACTGACAGTTAATGGAGAGAAACATGCACCTGACCTCTCAAAACCACTTAACCACATCAGATAAATGACTCACTTGATTTTAGGAGTGTTGTGTCACCCCTGGTTCTTCCTTGATGGGCTCTAAATCTTCGTAAAAGATTCCCTCATTAAACTGGTTGACTTGATCTAGTATTATGTAAAAGAAATAGGTCTGGTTTATGTTTAATGTTAATCAGTGTTGAATCAGATGTTACTGTGAGTATCTCTTTTACTGTCATCTAAAATCACTGTTGTTGTTTTCAGTTCTGTAAGCACTGAATGAGAAAGCATGAAGTGGTGCCATTGGTAATTGTTCTTAGGCTCCAAGGATGGACGACTGTGTTGGAATGCTGTCCATTTCCACGCACAGATTAAGGGCAGGTTGAGCTATAGTCTCTTCAAATGAAGCTTGCCCCCTGTAGGCTTCACAAATATAGAGAGCTGTATCAGAAATGAACAACAAGAAAAAAATACACCTTCAAAATTTTCTGTGAACTAAGTGACTTCCATGCTGTTAGATGGCCTTCATAAGTGTTCCTTTCTGTCAGAATTTCCTACACCAGACCAAAACCAGGATCCTGGTGCAAATAGATAAATGATGAATTATGATGATTGTTTTCCTGCTGTTAAACAATTCTTTGTGGCTTGTTTGTTTCCAAGCTGTGAGTTCTGCTGACTCTGTAAAACCCAAGTCTGAGGGCAAGGGAAAAGGCAGTACCAACTAGTTTTCAAAATATAAAACCAAATTATCTCCCTTGACATAAAGTTGTTTTTAACAGCAGGTGCATTTGACTCCAAGATTGATTCCAGAAGTAAAATACTGAAGTAAGCTAATGGTGACTCCAGATCAATTTCTCATCAACTTTTAGAGGGAAATTAATTTAAAAAGTATGTCTTACTTAATCAAGTATAGCCTTTTGGATCTGTAAAATCATGTCTTTAGAACCCCCTATTTTATTGTTTCTTAAAAAATTGATTCCTGGCTGTGGAGTCTTGACACTGAGGAAAAAAAAAAAATTATCCATTCAGCTACCTGAGGCAGCACCAACCCACATAATGGTTAGCTGTTCTTATTTCTGGAAACTGACAGTTAACTCGTAACTAAGACTAGAGTTCATATACTTCCAGATAAAATCCAGAATTGTTCTAGAAATGTGTGGTGGAAATACATGCATTGCTAAACTAAACTATGGAACTGAAATGATCTTCATTGCTGTTTTCCTTCACAGAGATTAAGATTTCATCTCTTGTAGCATTTGAAGTCTTCCAACATATGTGGGCTAATTGGTTCCATGTTGCACTTGTTTCTGTTGCTTCAGGTCCTGTTCAGTGTAATGTCAGGAGAAGTCAAGGCATTTGAGGGTCCATGTGAAATTCTGGGTCTGGATAATAAGTAGGTGACAAAGACAGAAATTCTCAGTGCAATTAATGTACTTCAAAATGCTTCAAAATTTCAACAGCCACATTCAGGGTTGTTGACTTAGTTTTGTTGGGCTATTCAGAAACAGTCATATAGGATCCATTTAAATTAGTAAATTGAAGTTCTACTCTAGCCTTCGTCTTTACTCCTGATTGCATTTTCTAATAGCTCAACTCTGAGGAAAACAAGATCTGTTGTGCAGCTCCCTTAATTAGTGCCTCTGAGTACCAGCTAAGGGAGTATTAGATCAATACTTTGCATCATGCTTGATTAATAGTGGTATAGATTTACTGTTTTAATAAATGAGGCCTCATCTGAATTATTTCAGCAGATGCCATAGTAACTCCCATTCACTGTCAGGCAAATTTTGGTGATAGTTCAGTAGCAATTGATTTAGATATGGTTTCCAACAGAAGTTGGTTGGTTTATTTTGACATAAATACTCTCTCAATGGGCCA